CGTGTGTGTGTGTGTGTGTGTGTGTGTGTGTGTGTGTGTGTGTGTGTGTGTGTGTGTGTGTGTGTGTGTGTGCGTGCGTGCGTGCGTGGTCCATTAAGAGTGGAAAGGAATCCATTAAGAGTTTCCCAGGTAACAAATTCGCTGTTTCCCAGTTCCGGATTAAAATAAAATTGCAACTTCGGCTTTTCCGCGTCCCGGTAGACTATTCCCGAATCACGAACACTTTATCCGGAATTTCCTGATTCCCAGATAATATAAATCGTCCAATCTCGCGGCCGGAAAATGACCGACCCCACCCCTTCATTCGTGGACTTCCTCTTGGATCGGGAATGCAGCAACAAGCCTGGTCGATGTCCTTTGATCTTCCCGCGGCTGCCGCACACGGCACGTGCGCAAAGGTCACCGCTCTCGCGTCGCCGGACACATCAAAGGCGCTGCCGCCCTCTGCCTCCCCGCCTCGGCCGTACCTGAGTAGCGGAGGAATTAATTACACGAGAGCCTTTCTCGCCGACGTAATGCGATTCCGGTCTCCAGATCGACATCTATACACCTTGTCGCGTGTGCGGCGGGCACGCGCCGCGGCCGCCACTGCCCCGCCCACCTGCAATTAAGATACAGGTGTCGCTCGCTGTCTGTGAATGCTTGATGGCACGGTGTGACATCAGCTTGCGCGTGCGTGTGATTCCACGCACAAAGTTCGGGGCGGGCGCGTAAATGGGGGATGAAGCAGCACTGGCAGCGGCGGCAGCAGCGGCAGCGGCGACAGTAACAGCAGCGGCGGCGGCAGCAACAGCAACATTGGCGGCAGCAGCAGCAGCAGCAACAGCAGCGGCAGCAGCAGCAGCAGCAACAGCAGCGGCAGCAGCAGCAGCAGCTCAGTAGCGGCCAGCAGAATAGTAGCCGGCCAGCAGCGGCCAGCAGCGGCACGCAGCGGAAGCAGCCTGGCACCAGCGCAGCAGCGGCGAGCGGCAGCCAGCAGTAGTAGCGGCAGCAGCAGTAGTAGTTGGCAGCCAGCAGCGTAATAAGTGGCAGCAGCAGCAGCGCGGCAGCAGCCGGGCCAGCAGCGGCAGCAGCGGCAGCAGCGGCAGCAGCTGGCCAGCAGCTGGCAGCGCGGCCAGCAGCGGCAGCAGTGCGGCAGCAGCGGCTAGCAGCGCAGCAGCGGCAGCAGCGGCCAGCAGCCGCGCAGCGGGCAGCAGCGGCAGCAAGCGGCAGCAGCGCCAGCAGCGGCTGCCGCCGCGCGGCCACAGCGGCCGCAGCCGGCAGCAGCAGTAGTAGTGGCAGCAGCAGTAATGAAGTAGGCAGCGGCGCCGTGTGTGTTGCCCCGGCGATATATCTCTCCATCTCTCTCCCGCCGGCCTGCGCGCATGCGCGGTGCAGCTGGGGATGCTGCTGCGCGAGTGCGGGAACTGACGGAGGCGTTTGAGCTGACTGATTTGTACTCCACTCATCAGAACGCGTGCTAACCGGCCGCGGTTCGTGCATAGTGGATGCTGCTGCTGACCTGCTGCTGATGTGCGCCTGTGGATGATAGCAACGCGAGAGGCACCGCGTGTAAGCTCGGTAATTTATATGTGACTCGGTATTGTGCCGCCTTCTCTCTCTCTCTTCTCTTCTCTCTCTCTCTCTCTCTCTCTCTCACCGCGCGGCGAACGGACGAAGAGAAGTCTAGCAGTTAAGTAGCGTGTTGTTGTGTCTACTAATCGTTGACTTATTACACGCGTACATCCGTCTCGCACGGCCTTACTCTGTTCTCTCTCTGTGTGTGGTTGCGCTCTCTATTTCCTTCTTCTCGCTCTCGCTCTCGCACACGCTCAAACCACACGCACGCATAGACACACGGGCTTACACACACACACGCCGCGCGCCTACCCACACCACACACACACACACACACGACCACACACACACAACCACAACACACCACACAACACCACACACGGGCACACACGCGCACGCACGCACGCACGCACGGCCACGCCACCCACCACGCGCACACCGACAGCGGCGCACACGCGCACAACACACACACTGCGCGCACACGCACTGAACATCACACCACACACACACAGCACACCACACACCACACAGCACACACACCACGCACGCACACACACGCACACGTCCGCACCGTGCCAGTCAGCATCGCAGCTACTGCAGGCATCTCTTCGACCATCCATCGTACCGCATCCATCGCGTAATTTTGCCTGCGACGTGCGCTTCCCGCGGGCGCGTCAGAGAGAGCGTGCGAGAGGAGAGAGAGCGAGTAGGAGAGAGACCGAGAGAGAGAGAGACGCGAGAGAAGAGAGAGAGAGCTTCGAGAGAGAGAGAGCGAGAGTGTCTGTTGATGGGAAATCCGCATGCCATCGTGTGCAGTGATCAGCGTATCATCGTAACCGCACGCAGCGGCACCGACGGGCAGTAGTTCGTCTGCTAGTATTGCATTCAGCCGAATCCGCACGCGCGTGCTCAATCAACCCTCTACATACGCCGCCGGGTTTCTCGATTCTTTCACAAATTGACGCGCCATTGACGACATTCGAGCGAACTAGAATGAGGAATTGGTGGCGCCGAGTGCCAGCACAAAGCATGGACAGTGCGCCTGCGGTGATAGTAGAGTGAGAAGCGCACTCGCGTAGCGGATAGTGTTGAGAGGAAGAGAGGGAGAGAGAGAGGGAGGGCGAGAGCGGAAGGAGAGTGACAGAGAGAGAGAGCGAGAGAGAGAGCGAGAGAGAGAGGAGGAGAGGGAGAGAGGAGGAGAGGGAGAGAGGAAGAGAAGGAGAGAGTTAGAGGAAGAGGCAGAGAGAAGGGAGAGTACAGAGCCGCGCGTGTCGCCGCTGTGCGTGCGGGCGTGTGTGCGTGCATGCAGGCGTGCGTGCGTGCGTGTAGACGATGCAAGCTAGCGACATGCGCGCAGCCTCCCTGCCGATTCCCAGCACGCGTGAGTATACGTCGCTGCAGTAAATCTATCGCTGCAGTGCAGGTGTGTGAGCAGCAAGCGTGAGCGAGCAGAGCTGCCCGCCTCGCCATCGCATAGACTCCCGTCACATCACAACGAAGAACGCCCGTGACATCACTACTGGACAACGAAGACTGCCTGTGACATCACTACTGGTCAACGAAGAACGCCTGTGACATCGCTACTGGTCAACGAAGAACGCCTGTGACATCGCTACTGGTCAACGAAGAACTCCTGTGGCATCACTACTGGTCAACGGAGGACTCCTGTGACATCACTACTGGTCAACGGAGGACTCCTGTGACATCACTACTGGTCAACGAAGAACTCTTGTGACATCACTACTGGTCAACAGAGGATTCCCGTGACATCACTACTGATCAACAGAGGATTCCCGTGACATCACTACTGATCAACGGAGGATTCCCGTGACATCACTACTGCTCAACGGAGGACTCCTGTGACATCACTACTGCTCAACGATAGATTTCAGTGACATCGGTGCTGATCGAAGCTCGACTCCCGTGACGTCAGCGTTGTTCCGATCAACGCCGTACTCCCGTGACGGCACTACTGTTCCGATCAACGCCGTACTCCCGTGACGTCACTGCTGTTCCGACCAACGCCGTACTCCCGTGACGTCACTGCTGTTCCGACCAACGCCGTACTCCCGTGACGTCACTGCTGTTCCGGTCAACGCCGTACTCCCGTGACGTCACTGCTGTTCCGGCCAACGCCGTACTCTCGTGACGTCACTGCTGTTTCGGTCAACGCCGTACTCCCGTGACGTCACTACTGTGCCGGTCAACGCCGTACTCACGTGACGTCACCGCTATTGCGGTGACCACGTCGCGGCGTTGTTGTCGTTAGAGTGAACGCTAGCAACAATTAGAGCTGCTGCTGTCACAGCGTCGTGCTAGCGCTGCGGGTACCTGCTGTGTAGTGTGCATTAACTTACCGTCGCCACTGAAGGCAGACGACATCTGCCAGTGACTGTCGTGGGAAGGCTTTACCGCGGAGCGCTTTCTCTTCGTGGCTTCTCCCTCACCTGCTTATCCGTAGCGGAGACGGGGAAAGGAAAGGAAGACAAGAGAGCCGATAGAAGACGTTATCGCTACGGAAAAGGAAGACAGCATCTGTCAGAGACTGTCGTGGGAAGCTGCACCGGAGAGCGTTCTCTCCCTGTAGCTTCTTTCTTTCCTTCTTATTCCTAGCCGAAAGACGGGAAGGGAAAGGAAGAGAAGAGAGTCTCCAAAGAAGACGCCGTCGCTACGGAAGAGGAAGACGACATCTGTCAGTGACTGTCGTGGGAAGCTCTACCAGGCAACGCCCTCTTCTCGTGGCTTCTTTCTATCCCTGAGTGTCGCCGATACCTCCCCTCCCCACGCACCTTCTCTCCTCAAACCCCGGAGAAGACAGAGGAAAGGTTAACTACTCAACAACTACAAACAACAACTAACAACAATGTTGAGTGAAAACTTCGTGCGGAACAACATCCGCACGTCCGGTGACGGCACGTCCAACCCTGCGCAGTCGAACGTTGACGGAGGTGCGGCGGCAGCGGCGGCAGCAGCGGCTGCGAGTGACGGCGACGTTGTAAAGCGTGGATACCTGTACATTAAGCGGCCGCCAGGACACAGCTGGCTTCCGTGGAAGGTAGGGTGTACGGTCGATATATATATATATATATTATATATATATATATATATATATTAATAATAATTAATAATGAGAAAACGGTAAATATATATATTTATAACATATATAGTATATATATTATAATATAATATATATTATATCATACAATTATCCTACTTGCATGCGTACATTGGCGAGCTGCGCGTGGCGGCTGCGTGCGTGCGTGCGTGCGTATATGCGCTTCATGCTGGCGAGGCAAGTGTGCGGACGTAATATGCAGATGCTTGCATGACGACTACGCCGCGTGCGTCGCGGGCGTGCGTCCGTATATGGCTTCGTGCGTTGCACGCATACGGCAGTATTATCAAGCGCACTGACGGATTTCTTGCTTATGTAAGTCGCACGCTCCGCCCGTCGGTGACGAGAGATAGTATTATAGTTATAATCGAACGTAAGGCGAGCGTCGACGCATCGTTGATACATCGCGGCTAAGATAGCCGTTCTTGTGATTCAGCGGCGAATAGGCTCGATTATACCGATGATTAGTACTGCACGTTGCCACACGCACGGCGAGTGATGCCCCATCTGCTGCATTGAGTAGATCACAGCGCTTGTTCTGCTAGAGGCCGTTATAAGCAGCTTCCTAGGGGACATGCGTGGGCGTCGTAGCCAGCCCTACTACGCGTGCGCATGCAGCAGCAGAGACCAGAGGATCCGAGATGACCTCGACCGCTCGAGAATAGAGACGAGACGAGAGACCGAGGAGACGAGACGAGCAGAGAGAGAGAGAGAGAGAGAGATGGAGAGAGTGAAAGAGACAGCAGCGATAGCAGAGCGGAGAGCAGAGAAGAAAGGAATAGCGAGGGAGAGGGAGGTATGGACAGCGAGGCGAGGAGAGAGGGAGGGGGAGGAAGGTAGGAAGGAAAAAAGAGAGGGCCGGAGAAGGAAGGAGGGAGGCGTGGAGTGAAGGTGAGGGAGGAGGAGATGAGAGGAAAGGTAGGGAGAAAGAACAGAGGGAACGGAGAGGATAGAGGCATGGAAGAAAGAGAGAAAAAAGGAGATAAAGATAGAGAGAGCCGCTCGAGAGGAAGGAGATATATAGCGACCGAGATGCGAGTAAAGAAGAGAAGGAAACGAGAGCGATCGGAGGACAGAGAGCGTATGCGGAAGTGTATACAGAACGCACACGCAGACGTTGCAAAACATTCATACTTGCGACTGGCGGGGCGGAAGTGTACAAGTGTTTGTGCGGCGCGTGTGTGTGTATGTGTGTGCAATGTGTGAACGCGCCGCGTGTATGCTGTGTGTGTGTGTGGTGTCGTGGCCAAGTGTGTGTGTGTGTGTGTGTGCGTGTGTGTGGAGGGGGGGGGGGTGTATGCATGCATGTGTGTGAGTGTGTGCGAGCGTGTGTGTGTGTTGTTTTGAGTAGTCGTGAGAGAGCGTGTAGGGTTACCTCACGACGTGACGCCGCGTCTACGTGTTACATGTATATCAACAGCTCATAATAGAGCCTCTCTATTATGAGCTCTTGATGTATATCAGAAGTAGATAATAGGCTAATTCCCTATTATCTACTTCTGATGTATATATACTGAGCTGACACACTCGCACACGCGCATGAATGCACGTACCCAGGCCCGCACGCACGCACCCATGGACGCACGCAGGTACACACGCGCATATTAACTCACGTACGCACGAACGCACGCACGCATGCACGCAGATACACACACGCGCATTTACTCACGTATGTACGCACGCACGCTCGCGCACGGACGCACGCACGCACATGCACGTACGCACACGCGCAGGCGAGAGTCATTTAATGCGCGCCTGACGCCCCCGGTCACTGTAATTATAATTATATCGACAGTCTTTATACGTGAAATTCACCTTTAATTTAACGACAGTCACGCCCATCGCGGAAATCTCACGTCACCTTCACCGCGACATGTCCCTGCCTTATTACGTGCGGCTAAGCGTCAGCCCTGCATTGTACGTCAGTCAAAGGCGTCGCATGTGCTGTCACGCTCTGCGGGGGCGTTTTCCTATTTACAACCCTTGTAAAACATATGGGCATAGTATATATGAAAAACATAAATGACAAAGCTTAGAGAGCTACGAACGTTTAAGTTGACGTTTAACGTTTTCGCATGCTTCTATTCTCGCTTTTTACTTCGTGTGTGCATGCACGCTATTGCGAATGCCATCAAATGATCGTATAGCGTGGCAGAAATGATGGGTGTGCGGATGTATAAAACATCTTTTATCTTCTTTCTCCTGGTTTCTGCGAATATAATCACCCTTCCTTCATATCACCCCCTATGTCTCGCTAGCTCGTGCTTTCCCAGCTTCCTCTCTCTCTCTCTCTCTCTCCGCGTTGCTCTTGATTCTCTCTCCCTCTCTCGTCCTACATCGTCTTGCCCTTCTCTCATCTCCTCTCTCCTCTCTCGCCTCTCTCCCTCTTCCTCTGCTCCTCTCTCCCTCTCTCCCTCTCTTTGTCTTCTTTCCTTTCTTTCACTCGCTCTCTTCTGCTCGCTCGCTTTCTTTTTCTTTCACCTACTCTGTACCACTATCTCTCGCTCGCGCTCTCTCTTTTTTGCTCTGCCGCTCGCGCTCGTTCTGCTTTGCTCTCGCTCGCTCGCTTTATGCTCTCTTCTGCTCTCTCGCTCTCGCTCTCTCTCTTCCTATCTTCTTCGCCTCTCTTCTCTCCCACCCCTCTCTTTCTCTCCTTTATCTGTCCACTCTTTTTCTTCGGTGTGTGCGTCTTCCTCCTCCTCCCCTCTCGTCCTCTCTCCTTTCTTCTGCCCGTCCTCTCCTCCTCCTCCTCCTCTCGGCTCCTCCTCCTCTCCTCCTCCTCCGTCCTCCCGCCTCCCCTCGCTCCTCCTCCTCCTCTTCATGTTTCTCCCATCCTCTTCTTCCTCCATTTCAACATGGCGACGATCGAGTCGCCAGAGCGTCTGGCAGGCGCGCGTTTGGCGGGATTTATTTGTTCGTCTCTCGGCCCGCCAGCCAAAGCGTCTGCTGCCGGCAATACCCGCGGGAAAGCAACGAGCGAGATTCGTTTTTTTCCCGAAGAACAATAAATAAATACTCACCGGAAGTAAACGATGGGCCACTATGCGCTCCCGCAGAGCGTAGCGAAGGAAAGGGGGAGAGATCCCGTTACATTCGCGCGCGCGCTCTCTCTCTCTCTCTCTCTCTCTCTCTCTCTCTCTCTCTCTCTCTCTCTCTCTCTCTGTGTGAGGCATTGTGTTGAAGGTCGGGGTCGGGAAGGGGGCTACATCATACCAAGAATAAACGGGTTATTACACCCATAGTTCATGAATAAGAGGTGTGAGTCTACAGATGATCTGCACATCACGAAATATAATTATGGCCGTGTCCTTTCATCTCCCCGCTTCTCTCCATCTATAACGACTATTAGTCAACATGCATGATGCATCGCAACAGCTGGTGTGTCGCCCTCGTCAGCGCCTTTATAGCTTAACACTTGTCTCACAGACGTCGCTGCTCCCCTGCCCCAACTTAGCGCCATCGTGCGGCCTAGCTAATAAACTAATTTTAACTCGTTACGTTCGCCCGCGTGCACTTAAGTTTCGTCACGCCCACATGAGAAACGCCCCCGGAGCGTGAGGGCTTGGTAGTGGATGAGCGAGACAGAGTGAGAGAAAGGGAGCGAGAGAAAGAGGAAGGGAGGAAAATGGAGAGAGAGAGGGATAGAGGGAGTGAAGGAGTGGGAGAGAGAGGGGAGATAGTGAAAGAGCGAGGGGAAGATGAACAAAGAGCGCAAGAGAGAGAGAAAGAGAGAAAGAGAGAGACAAAGAGCGAGCGAGTGAAAGAAACATGGAGAGAGAGAGAGGGAGAGAGAGCGCAAGAGAGGGCGTGGAGGAGAAAGCCCACAAGAGAGGGGGGGAGACAAAGAGAGAGAGAGAACGAGTGAAAGAGACCTGGAGAGAGGTAGAGAGAGAGAGAGGGAGAGAGGGAGAGCGAAAGAGAGGGAGAGCGAGAGAGAGGGAAAGAGGGAGAGAGCAAGATAGCAAGAGAGATGGAGAGAGGTAGAGAGAGGGAGAGGTAGACAGGGAGAGAGGGAGAGGTAGAAAGGGAGAGAGGGGAGGGAGAAAGGGAGAGGTACTGGGCGACGCCAGACGTCAAGCGGATTCGTTATGATTACATTCGTTGCATAATTCCTCTCTCGCTGCTGCTACAAACATACTAGACTGTCCACCGAGAAAAACATTCCAGGATCTTCGAGAAATCATCGGCGCTACTCGTGATAAATTGTGTCGAGGATTGAAATAAACTCGATGACGTGCAAATTTATTGTGGGCGTGAAGTAAATGAGCCGAGACCGCAGCCGGCAACGTCTATCCTTGCGTTTCGTCGGCTCTCTCTCTTCCTCTTTCTCTGTCTGTCTTTCTCTCTCCCTCTGCCAGACACAAACACAGTCATTCTATATCGTCCGTCGCCCACTCAATCTCAGTGATCGTGCGCGCGATGCAGCAGCGAATCGTACGTGACAGCTGTGATTGTGATA